GGCTGTCACTCGCACCGGGCAATCCCGGCGGGTCCGAAAGCGGAGCGAGGTGCGTGCGGGGTTAGCGCTGCTGCCCGAGGGAGGGAGCGGGGAGGCAGGGCGGGCCGGGCCGGGGTCGCAGCCCCGGGACCGCCGGGGACCCGGGCTCATTGGGTGGCGGCTTGCTCGGAGGGAAACCACACCCGTCGTCGGCCGAGCTGACCGTCAGATGCGGATCTTACCCTGGGACACGGGTTACCTCAGCGCACTGTCTCACAGTGATTCAAGCTCCGTAGGGCAGGCGACAACGTCTAATTGTCCCTCCCTACGCCTTCTGTAGCCATTTGCATAAAGCCTGCCAAAATACAAACTCTTGCGGCACGAAGCGCAGCGACCGTCAGATGCGGATCTTACCCTGGGACACGGGTTACCTCAGCGCACTGTCTCACAGTGATTCAAGCTCCGTAGGGCAGGCGACAACGTCTAATTGTCCCTCCCTACGCCTTCTGTAGCCATTTGCATAAAGCCTGCCAAAATACAAACTCTTGCGGCACGAAGCGCAGCGGGAATTGTTCATCTCGGTTTCCTGACACCTGCACCCCAAATCAGAAAGTGTTTCCAAGGAAATATTAAGAGATGCCAGCGGCACAGAGACCCGTCCCTGGGAGGGCGGTGGGATGGAGATCCTCCCGCAGCGGTGGGTCAGCTGCCAAACCCCCGTTGCGCTCTGTAACGTTGTTCGTTCTGCCTGAGCTGAATTTTAAAAGAAAACACAAACTCGACTTCATCCTCGTTAATCCCTGTAGCACAGAACACGTAGAGCGTGATTCACTCTCTTCACTGGTATAAGATTACTCTTTAATTGCAGCGAAAATCCATCCTTTCAAAAGCATTAAAGGCTTGACGTTTCTTTTCCCAATACAAGCCAATATTCAGATCACATGGACACTAATCAAATAACCCGGGTTATTTCATTTGTCAACATGTTCGTAAGAATTTTCTACCAGGCGTTAAAGGCATTTATATGGAACGACATCTTTCAAAAGCAATGTCGCTAGTCCAGATTTAGGGAATATTTGATTATGACAAGACGTTTGATGGTTTTATTTTACATACCAGCTGTGCCACAAATCGTTTCATACCTCAGACAAATTCCTAATTTTGTATCCTGCGACTACTTTCCATGAAGGGGTAATTTTCATTTTAAGCCATTCTTGTCAATACCTGCAGCTCCCAGAATAGCCTTATATTCAACAGTCTTGTCAGACGCTCTAAAGGACAACTGGCAAGAAGGCTTTGGAGGTGGTTTTGTTTTGTCTGGGTTTTTTTCCCCCCCCAACTTTAAAAGAAACTCCTCTTTTTGAAGTACCGTTACAAGGGGAAATC